CTATACCTTTCTTGCTTTCTTTTATGAAATGTAAAAAGCCATGGGTCATTTTGGAGGCATATTGTCAAAAAACCAAAAAAAAGGTTCGTTGGCACTAGGTTTTGAACTTTTAGGCTTTGTTCTTAAAAAAAAAAAAATGATGTTGTAAGAGATCCAAAGCTCCAAAACTAACCTTGAATGCAAGTTCAATTTTTATTTTCTTTCATTTTCCTACATGTGCTTTATTCACAGAGTTTGTTCATGGGGTATGGGGAGGAAAGTTCAAAACTTTTCATGCTTGTCTCTTTTGCATAGTGGTTGTTCATGAAAATGTTTTAAATCAACTTATAATTCCAACGCCCCACCGTGAAAATCATGTGAAAGGTGGGAGTTATACTACTGTTATAAGCGAAAAAAGAGCCTTCATAGTTGGCCTTACGAACAGGGGGTATATAGCTTTTCTTTTCACTTTCTTTTGCTTGCAAAAAGATACTGCCATTCAAACCTCTTCATTGTTTGGGAAAATGGCATGGGATTCAATCTTCTAGGTTTTCCATTCCTTCATAAAAATCACCCTTACCGTTTCATCCTTTATCAGTTGTTCCCATAGAATTTCTTTCTTTTTTCTGATGGACATTGCATTGATTCAGTTTTTCATGTGAATGGTCATGTTAGTATAATTCTTGCTAGTCATCTTTAAGAACCTATATGGTTGCTAAATAGATAAAATAGAGGCAGGCTTTAGAGGATTTAAAGTCAAAACCTAAAGAATAAAAGAATAAAAAAAAAATTTTTTTGCTTGCTTGGTAACTATCCAACCTTTTGTTTAGGCATGTCTTAGCTTGTTTTTCTTGTCTTGGTCTGATTTTTGCACCTTTTTGTATGAATCTTCTTTGTTCTGCTAGGCTTGTAAAAGTCTATAGGTAGCTTTATGATGTGAATTTATATCAAAATGGCATTTACATAATGAGAAAGTCAACAAAGTTGATATACTTGTCAGAAGATTGATGGTGGGGTTTTGAAATTGTATATTTATTTCGTCATTTTAATCCTTGCTTACAAGATGAAGATTTTTTTTTATGCGTTTCTTCTTTTATTTGAATGTGGATTATCTTTGTTGTTATGTTTGGTTAGCATAATAATTTGCATTATAATTATGTTATGGAAGCAACATGTTGTTCATTTTGTTTTTATAACGGTTTTGTTGAATTTATATTTTTATATAAAATAAAATATATATATATATATAAATAAATATTTAATAATACTAAATTGAATGAAAATTTTCAATGACGAGAGATTTTAAAGAAATCCGAGTAGTGATTCTTTAAAATCTCTAGATAAAAATATTTTTCTAAAAAATACTACTAAAGTAATAGAGTATTTAAAAAAAATATTTAATACAAAAGATTTTCATTCATTTGGTTTTCTAAAATTGTGTTAGATGTTGATAAAATAATATATAATTACTCTTTTAGTAATGAAATTAACATAATAATACATGAATATTGTGATTAATTAATTTTGCCTTTCAAAAAATTTAGTTCATTAAAAATAATAATAATTAAAAAAATTAGAATTAGAATGAAATTAAACAAGGAGGAAAAAAATTAAACAAAATATCTAATAATAGGATTTTAAGGAAGTTCGAGTAGAGATTCCTAAGAGATCCTTAGGTGAAAAAATTCTTCTAAAATACCACCAAAGTATCGAGATATCTAGAAAAATTTTTAATAAAAGATTTTGTTTACTTTGTTCCTTTCAAAAAATTCTTAGTGGTAATTGTGAAATAATTAAAGAAGATTAAAATACAATTAAAACGAGTAACGAAAAGTATAATATAAAGAAAATAAGTGTTATATATTTTTCATGTGCATATTCTATTTTATTGTTTGCATTACATAATCTTGAAAGTAATAGAATTTTCGATAATAGGACTCTGAAAAATTCGAGTAGTGATTCTCAAAAATTTCTTAAGTGAGAAAAATCTTTTAAAAATTGTTAAAGTATTGGAATATTTATAAATCTCTTTTCAATATAAAAATTTTTCATTCTTTAATTTGAACAATTTTTTTAATAAATAATAGTGTATTTTTAAAAAAATAAATATATTTGTAGATAATTATATTATTACATGACGTTTAATAATTTTTGTAAAAAAAAAAAAACAAAAAATCTTCGAGAGTAAGCTTCTAAAGAAATTCGAGTAGTAATTATTTAAGAATCTTTAGATAAAAAAAATCTATCTAAAATACCGTCAATGTATTAAAGCATTTAAATTAATTTTCGATAAAGATTTCTCTTTTTTATATATATAAATGATATAAAAATGAGTTTTAAAAAAAATACTATTTGTTTTAAAATTATAGATATTATATTTTATGTTTTTTTAAATATAAATATTGGAAATAAATAGAAACCACCGATGATAGAATATTGAAAAATTTAAAGTAGTAATTCTTAAATATTTCTTAGGCGAGATGGTTCATTTTAATATTATCAAAGTATTGAAATGTTTTTAAGAATTTTTCAATATGTAAGGTTCCTATTTATTTTTCAAGCATAGTAAAAATAAAAATATGTTTTTAAAGAAATTTTAAAAAATTAAATTTTAAATACCAAAATTAAAACTATTTTATTTAATATTAAAAGATAACACGTAATTAATTGGTACCGTTTTAAATGAACACTATGAAAATGCTAATCATTTCTCACGCGTAATCAACTTCTGAACCCAAATTATTTTCGTAAACCCCAAATATTATCTTTTTAATAAATTTTAATTAATTTTAAAATTTTATTAAAATGATAAGTTTTAATAAGTGATGAATCACACCTAATCAATAAATATTGGTAACAGACTCTTTTTTATTTTCAAATTCATCTAGCAATACTCCCAAAACCGTTATGAAACTAATTAAGTAGGAAATAATGGCCAGATTTAGCTTAAGAAAGTCCACAAACAGATACATATATTCATGCTTATTCTGCTTCTCCAATACATTATTGTGACTTTTCCTAGTTTTCAACATTTTCATGGTACATTATAACTACTTCAACCAATGCCTTGCACTAGATGCACTGTAATATGCTTAGTCATGAGAATGATCTGGACCTTGAATGCTACAGGGGATGATACTTCTATGGTTCATAGCTATGATTCCACAGTCAAAGTCTACCCCCTGCAATCGTTTGACTCAGCTGCAGATCTCCAACAGCAGCTCCAGTGACTATTAATCTCCTCATTTGTTCACATTTCCACTGGAGCTGGTGATGTTAAACCATGCTCCTTGGCATTTGGAGCTAATCAATTGGACAGAAGAGTCAATCTAAAGAACGACAGGATCCTAGAGAGCTTCTTTGGTTGGTATTATGCTTCAGCAGTTATATCTGTTCTATTTGCATTAACGGGTGTTTTCTATATTCAAGACGGTCTTGGATGGAGATGGACTTTGCAGTTCCAGTGACCCTAATGTTGCTCTCTGCCCTTGTGTTTTTTCCTTGCTTCTCCCCTCTATCTCGAGCAGGAAGCAAGCAAGAGCTTGCTTACTGGCTTTGTACAAGTAATTGTTGTTGCTTATAAAAAACTGGAATCTGACATTTCCCCTTCCAAACTCAAGTGCAAGTTACCATCACAAAAGGGATTCAAAGATTGTTGCACGAACTGACAAGTTAAGGTACCAAACCACAATAGCACTATCCCTCACTAATTAGGTATTGTGCTTGAATATTTTGATTAACCTATTTTAATTACTTTGTGCTCTTTGATTTTTGAACAAAGCTCGCATCATTAAAAACCCTGAACAAGACATAGTGATAGTGCTGGACGGCTCAGCCTCGAATCCCTCGAGTCTTTGCACAGTAGAGCAAGTAGAAGAGCTCAAAGCACTTATTAAGGCCTTACCATTGTAGTCTACTGGGATCATCAAGTCAATAAATTTAAACCAAAATTCATTCCCTGTGCTCCAGGCTAGCACTATGGACAGATACAAAAAAAGTTTCAGATTCCTACAGGCTCTTATGGAATGTTCAATAAAGTCCCATGGCATCGAAGATTAAGGGTAGACTGGTAAGGATTGGTGTCAAATAAAGGATGCGAATTGGAATATTTCTTACCTGCATGGCTATGGTAGTTTCAGTGATTGTCGGCAATGCCAGATGAAGAAAAGCAATTAGGGATGGGTTTCTAAACAACTATACATCCTAGTGTAGTTTTGGACATGTCTGCTATGTGACTTGTGCCACAATTTTGCTTGACTGACTTAGCTGAGGCATTCACTGCAATAGGGCAGACAGGGTTCTTTTATTCCGAGTTACCCAAAGAGTATGTCAACCATTGCTGCTGCTCTCTTTGGAATAGGATTGGCTGTAGGCTCTGGCTAATTTGGTAGCTAGTGTAGTTGTGAGCATTATTGATATTATTACCTCAAGTAGCAGAAAAGAGAGTTGGGTTTCAAGTAATATAAACAAAGGTCTCATTGACAATTACTATTGGGTTCTAACGATGCCGAGTTTCATCAATCTATTTTATTACTTTGTTTGTGTCTGGGCTTATGGACTCAAAATATTGCACACTGAAACAGACATAATTGCCATTATTGAACTCTTTGATTCATCTGAAAAAGAAAGGTACTGGAATTACAATAAACAAATCTATAATTCCAATTATTTAACAGTATAGAACTTATTGAGAGATGCCTCGTTTTTGTTATTCTTTTTGTTTGCAAAACAAGATGGAATCTTGAACCCTCAATTATTCACGTCCAAGGTTGTTTGTTACTGCCACGACAAACCCGAAAGGGCACCATTGATGATGAATTTGCTCTTGCAGATAGCATTTATCATTTCTTTACTTCTTCTTTGACCTTTCGCTCCTTAATCAGAACAAGAAAATCATGATAGACAAACCGTCCCCCACTTTCTTTCAAGCCAAACGCCAGCATGCATGCATTTAGTCCACATTCCTTTGTCCTTTGCTCATCGGTACGCACCTTCTTTGATTCCTTCCTTTCGACACACATCCTCCACTACATATATACCGATATTACGTTAAACATGCAAACTCCTCACTTCCCCACCATTGATAACAACAAAATAAATGGCCTGTATAGCGGTCGGTGACACGATTCCCGATGGCACTTTCTCTTATGTTGATGAGGCTGATCAGATTCTAAACGTGTCCGTACACTCCCTTGCTGCCGGTAAACAGGTCATTCTCTTTGGAGTTCCCGGTGCTTTTACTCCCACATGCAGGTAAACCATTTTTATTTTTAAATTCCAACAAGCTTGCAATTAGCTTTAAAATGTTACTCCTAATCCATTTTTTTCATTTTTACATGATGAACTATAAAACGATCGCTTGAATCCGTTGACTTATGTTTTATTTGGATGAATGATGAAAGAGATTATCACTCCATTAGAAGAGTCTTTTTGACGCTAAATCCTGATTACCGTTCATCCAAACGAAGCATTAGAATCTAACTTATTTGCTCTTATTTGTCAATTTTCAATATGATTGGCAGCTTGAAGCATGTTCCAGGTTTCATTGAAAAAGCAGAGGAGCTGAAGTCGAAAGGCATTAGTGAGATTTTCTTGATCAGTGGTATTAATTCACCTTCTAACTTCCATTTCTTTAGTTCTGTTGAAGCAAAAGATTTTTGGAAGTTGAAGTTGGGGTTGAACTTTAACTAGGGTTGGCAGCCAGCTTGACAGGTTTCGATTCAACTCTTTAAGATTATTTTTTTTTTAATTGGATTGCGGATCGGGTTGGGTTCAAGTTTTTAGGTAAAATTCGACTCAATCCGATATTATATAAAAAAAATTTATTATTTTTTAATTTTTAATATATATTTATATATTTATATTTAAAAAAATAATAATTTATTAATTTCAAATCGGATACGATTTATATAAAATCGGATAGAATCGAGTTTGAGTATAAAAAAAATTTCGAGTTGAATTCTGATTCGAGTTTTATAATTATAAAATTGGATCGAATTCGATACGAGCAAAAATTTATTTCGATCCGACCCGTTACCAACCATAACTTTAACAAGCTTTTTGGCTTAATTTTCAAATACACCTCGAACTTTATAGTGAAAAATTAAATTGTCTCTGACATTTTATTATGTGTAAATAAAACTATAAATTTTACTTTTTTATGCATGCTATAATTTTTTTTATTTGTCTGTAATTATATCCATAAATTTTTGAATTAATGAAAAAAGTTCAATTGAAATAACGAAGGATTAACATTTGTTATCCAGCACCATTGAGAAATACATAACAAGTCATAATTAGTCTTTCATTATTCTAATTAGACATTTTATAAGATAAGTTCTAAAAGCAACTTTGTTTTTGTTTTAATTGGAAAATTGTAATTAATTTAAAAAGTTTATAATTATTAAAAAATAAAAAAAATTTAATCTTATCTACACACAATAAAAGTTAAAAACTTTATTTCATTTTTTACTAAAACTTGAGGGTATATTTAAATATTAACTTTTTTTTCTTCTCCCAACCAATATATCATAGCTTTACTAAAATTATGCTTTAATAAATTAAAATTCATTATGGCAAATTTTGGGCTGTTTGCAGTTAATGACCCATATGTAATGAAGGCATGGGCAAAGTCATATCCTGAAAACAAGCATGTCAAGTTTTTCTCTGATAGCTCAGCAGCTTACATCAAAACTCTTGGTCTTGTGCTCGACGTCTCTGACAGAGGATTTGGGATTCGCTCGCAGAGGTTTGCTGTCCTGATTGATGATCTAAAAGTGAAAGTTGCTAATGTGGAATCTGGTGGACAGTTCAAAGTTTCCAGTGCTGAAGACATGCTCCAGGCTCTCTGATTTGCTTAAGCTGCCGCACAACCTATCTACTTTCTGTTCTTTGTACCGCAAAAGTGTGTTAGGATATGAATTAGTTGATAACTTTGGTCTTGTAATAATGTTTTCAATGTATACTATCATGAACAAATGAGTTGTTTCTTCACTAGTATAGGAGTCGATTTTAAGGTCTGAGAGTATGAGTCGTTAAGAGAAGGATTGCGAAACCAAAAATGCTGGTTTTGACTTGTATATAAATGTAGACAGAGAGATTATATGTCCTGTCTTGTTTCCTTTAAAAATTGAAGTTGTGAAACCAAAATTGCAGACAAAGATTTTAAGGTTCCCTGTCTTCATCTAAAGGAGACATGAAGCCCAGGCGCCCTCTTAACTTTTGCATATCACCTTGATGCTTTTTCTGACTTTGAATACCAAAAAATAAAAGAAAAGGTTAAAAACTAATGTGAAATACGGAAAACTAGTACAAACTGTAAATCTGTAAATATATATATATATATATATAGTGTAATACCCGAAAAAAAAAAAAAAAGGATTTTTTTAAGTATTTTTATAAATAGGGGATTTTTTAATAAAGAATGAAAAATGTAGATGATTTATTGATAAATAACCCAATTTTTTTATTAATAGAGTTAACTTTTTGGTTTTCAGTCGACGATTAATCGAAAGAAAAACAAAAACTTATTTCTCATATGTTTTTTATACAGAAAAGATCAATTGAAGGATTCCAAGTGAAGGAAAAGAACAAATCTACAAGGAGAAACTGTCATTAGAGGTGAGTAAATAATCTCTTTTAATCTTAGAGTATTGATGGTTAAGTCTTAAGGTGTAATTTATAATTGAGAAACCTTAAAATTTTAAGGTTTTCATTATCCCTCTTTGGGCAGATGATTTAGACTTTAATTATAGTCAAATTAAGTGTTGAGAAAGTTGGTAATGTGAATTTATTGCTGAAACAGAAATTTGATGGGAATAGAAAGGAAAATCTTTATTTCGTATAAATTATGATATGAATCTTGTATTTGTAGTGATGAATTAAGGTTATATTCTATATTAAAGGATTAAATACTACTATAATTATTATATATGGTTGGAAAGCATGTTGAATCTACTTTCTAATGAAACAAACGGGAGTTGAATTCAAGTTCTCTATGAAGAGTTATCTAATTTTTTTATCTAAGGATGTGCAGGCTGCCTAGTAGCAGCAGTAAAGAGGAATTACGAAATTTTTTTAAATTTTTATACAAGGATTTACAGATTAATCCATATATGTTTGGAAAGCTTATCGAGTCTACTTTCCAATGAAATAAGCGAAATTGAATTTGGAGTTACCTATGAATAAATACGTAATTTTTATGAGAAGGTATACAGGCTATCTGGTAACAGCATATGATGTGGATTACAAAAATTGTTATAATTAATCCACAAAGAATCATGAGATGTGCCATATATGGTTAGAAAGCTTGTCAAGTCTAGTTTCTAATGCATTAAAAAGATTTTAATTCCGAATTGAATATCTTGAGTTATGATCGTTTTAGTGAAAGTAGCGTAGACTGCCAGAATTAATTACTCGAGTTATTACTTGTTTAACTTAGTTGTTTTGGTATAAGTGACCTCAAATGAGTTGATTAATTATTGTTATGTTGGAATTATCTTGAATGGGCCACTAAATTTAAGGGAAAAAAATTAGGTGGTGGAATCAGAAAAAGGTAAGTAGAATCTTACACACTTTGCTTGTTTTCAAATCTATGTATATATATATATATGTTTATAAATGAATGAATATTTTATTTTTTTTATTTTCGATGTATGAAAATAGGATCAAGCATATGATTATTTTGTGTTTGTTTATATAAATGATGGATCATACTTATGAGAAAATGATTTATATTTAAAGAATGATTTTATGATGGCTACGTTTTTATATCCCTAAGAACTGGGATCATCGATACCAGAACTAGTTCTACGACTCTGGCTAACGGGTAATAGTAGTTAGCGTAAGCCCTGGCTAACAGGTTATAATAGTTAGCAATGATCATGAGAATGAAATTGTCGATATGGCCAATGTTACGAGTTATAACAGTGTCCGTAACTAACGATTTGAATGATAATGATGATTTACGATGATTTTTAATGATTGATCCATGATTTGGTTTGATTATGATATTTGAATAGTAACATATTTTACAATGATTTATGAATTTATGAAATGTTTGACAGAACTATGATATTGAGATGTTTTAACATTATGATTTGATGAATATTTTGAATGATCTATATGACATGTATGAAACGATGTTTGATCCGGTAAAGTATGTGAGCCTTCACTTACTGAGCTGTGATTTGTTCATTTTCTATTTTCTTTTCTTTTACAGATATTATGAAGGATAAGTATGATTAGCTTGAGAAAAGCTAGAAGAATCGAGCATGAGCATTGGAGAACTACTTAAAAATATAGGATTTTATGAAGTATTGTTTATTTTAGTTATAATACTCGACTTTGAACCTTTGGAGACTTGTTATCTAGCTATGTTATTTAATAAGAACCTTTTATATTTGAGAGTTGTTCAATGATTATGGATTAAGCTTCATATTGCTTTAGAGTTTTACTTCAAGATAATATAGTCGTGTTATGCCTCGATTCAGGGCGTGACATATAGTTTTATGAGATTGAAAGAATAATTAATATATAAAGACGAAAAGAATGGACATCTAAGTTTTACAAGATACAAACTAATTTCTGGTTTCACACCTAGACTCAATTCTTTCATTCCACTCCGAGAACCAAAAAAATTTTTTCATTCCACTGTGTTATGATAGTTTTCAATCAGATAACATCCTTTATGGCTAGGAAAACAACAACAATATCTCCACATTTTTCAGGAATTTGATGGAGGATGACAAGTAATTGAAGGTTATTTGATACTACCAAACTTAAGTTGAAAACTAGACATTTCAAATAAATCGAAATGATAATACCGGAAGTTTGTTTCCATGGTTCATTATTCATGAATAAACAAATATCAGTTTTTTTCTTTTAAATGTTGGCAGATTTGGATGAATACCCAATTCTTGTTTTGACTTCAGACCACAACTACAAGTATCTGTTCTTTCTTTCTTCTCCTGCAACTTCCAATAACTCTGAAATCTGAATTCAGGCATATCATTAGCGAAGGACCAATGGCTTCAGAGAAAATAATGGAGAAAGCCATCCGCCAAAATTCGTCTAAAAGGGAAAAGGGGGGTTCATCACCTTGCCGTTCATCATAGGTACATGCATCAAAAGCATATGCTTATTCTTGAATGGTTTTTGCATTACGATTTTGGTTACTTGTCTATACTTTAATTTTTAAAAAAAAATTTGTGGTCTTTGGTGCTAATTGTTCTGAACATTGATTTTGAATGTTTCAACTACAGCGAATCAGGCCCTTGAGAACGTGCCTATTTATGCGTTGGTGCCAACCATGATGCTGTATTTGAAGAGTAACTATCACATGACTATTGCCGCTGGGCACAATCTTATCGATCTTTGGCAAGCTGTAAGCAATTTTGCACCTATTTTGGGTGCGTTCTTCGCTGATTCTTACATGGGCCGTTTGGTTACCATTGGCTTGGGTTCAGTCTCCAGTTTTCTGGTAATTAGCTCTTCTTTTTCTGTAACATCAGTTGTAGTTTTGATTCTTACTTTTTTAAGCATAGTTGTTATAAGGATAATGTCACAAATGACCTCATAAATTATAATAAAATGTTTAATGTAATATTTGAATTTTAAAAATTTTTAATGTAATATATATTAATTAATATGATACTTGAAGGATTATTTGTTCGTCATATGTTATCATTTAAAACTAATCATATTAAAGATGAGTATTATATTAGTTAACATAAGTCATATATCATATTAAACATTTTATTATAATTCAAGGGCTATTTATTCGTGAGATTAAACATCCTTACAATGTTATGTTTAACTTTTTCTTGTTAGTAGAATCTCTAATTAGGATTTTTCACACCTAACTTTAATGTTACACGGTGTGGCAATTCTATGGTCAACAGCCCTTACACCACAGGCAAGGTGTCATGGTCAGGCCTTGGTCCTGCCATGACTGACCCTGGACCAAGCAGCGGTCGAGATTGAGTTGACGGAAAAGCGGTTCTGAGGAATGCGGGCGTGCATTCGGAGCTTGGGAACATGATGCTAACATGTTGTAGGGGCAATGGGAGCCCTGAGCCGCAAGATATGCGGGAAAGTTCGAGACAATGGTCGGACACCCTAAAGCCAAGTAACCTGGCGGGTGCCATCTGTGGAAGCAGTGTGCCGGCGTTCTGAGCATGGGAATAGGTTAGGGACATTGTGTGTGGACGGTCCATGTCCTAAACCCCGAGATATGCAGGTAAGTATAAGGCAGTACGCCAATGCCTTGGGATCAGCTAGCCAATCAGGTGCTGTCAGTCTAAGCCATATGCGGGCACCTTCGAGTGGGTTGGTGGAGCAATGATGACCAAGAGGAAGGTTACGGGGCCCTGAGTTAGCCGGAGAAAGGCCCTGAGGTGGCTGGGTAGAAAAGTGTCCCCGTTTCAGATATTCTTACGGTCACTGGTAGCATATTGGAAAAATCTCTAACGCTCTTTTATAGGGGGACGTCTGGTGTCAGCTCTCCACCACCCCCTTGGCTAGCGGGCAGGCGGGGGCCTAGCTAGTCTGAACTGAGCTATTCCTAGGCACTCGTGGTGTCTAGGTGGGCGGACATCGTAGGGTCACGAGCGTGGCACGATGTTTCCTCGGGTAAGGTAAACTCGGGGGTGATTGGGTCCGGTGGGCCTCGTATCGTGCCTTTGCGTTGAACCATGGGGTTTGGATGATAGAGACCATTAGGCCCCTCGGTTTCCTCTCATCGAGCCAGAAGGATCAGGTGATGGTGTTTACGTAGGAGGGATACCATCGAGCCAAAGGGATGCGTGGACTAGCTAGCGAGCACGCTGCTAGACCCTTGTGGCCAGTCGGG